TTTTTATTAATTTCATTTTAAATGAGGAAATATATAAATATGTTGTTTGTAGAACTAAAAAATATTTTCTGTATACAGACTGAGTTATTAAAAAAAAATCTTAACCTCAAATTCCACCTAAAAAAGTGAAATATTATCTCTGACTATAATGTGAAAGCTAAAAACAAAACTTGGATGATGCCCTTTAAATTGACAATGGGGGTAATACTATGGCCTCTCTGCCCCTCTTTTATTTCGCAACTTTATTTCAGACACTCTTTGAAGGAACCGCTTAGAGACAGCATGAATAAATCATGGCATGCTCCCAATTACTCTTGTCACCCTGAGCCTTTTACAATTTCCTGTCTACAAATCCACATTTAAGGAGATGAATTACAGCACTGTAGCACACATTTGCAACTCTTTGGTTTAGTGAAAAGGAATAAACTCTTCTGCACTAGAGAAATCTTAATGCAACAGAAGCTTTAAACAAAGGTAATACTTAAACACACTGAGGAGGCAAAATGCAAAGGCTAGGTAGAAGATAATGAGCTTCTATCTGTGCTGAAAGAACAGTTCTTTGCTCGGCAAAAGTGCTCCAAACCACGCAGCTGTTTGGTCCAAAAAATAATAAAACAGCATGCAAATTTTACCAATTCTGCAGAGCAACCCATTCACCAAGATGATGGGTTCTTAAGCAGGAAAATATCCAAACCCAGCATGTTCAAAACCCTTCAAAATACCATTCTGAAACACATATCTGGCATTTAACCAAGTCTGATAGCTGTGACAATGTGTGACAGATTTTTTATTTAATGTTTACCTGAAGCTAACATATTGATTATTGCTTTTAAATCCCATTCATCAAAAATCCTAAACTCAAAATAGTAAACAGCCTCTCAGTAATCCAATGCATTTTAAGCATCATGAAATCAGTGTTTGGTTTTTATTGAACAGTGACTCCTATTTCATTTTTTTTTTAAGTGTTTCTGTTATTTTTTTTTAGCCAAATGAAGCCTGTTAATGTGCATAAATATTAAGTTCCCAAACATCTAATTTTCCTGATTCTTCAGTTGGTATTAACGATCACATACATAAATGTATTGCAGTGGAGGTCTGACTTATCCCACCTCCCACACCAAAATAGTGAAGATCAGTATATGTTTTAGGACCGTTATTCCTTTTGATGGATTAATTATATAATTTGTTAATGTTAATCAGATCTTGGAAAATACTTTTTAATGTTTTTCCCCCAAGTAACTAGTTATTTGACTCATCAGTAAATTAGTTACCAACTCAATTACTTTTTGGGAGAAGTAACTAGTAACAATACTGAAACTAGTTGATGATTATGGAGTTAATTGAGTGTAATGTGTACAAATTTAAAAAAAAGTAAATATGGAGCTGTGTTAAATAACATTTCTGGGTCTAATATGGGGTGTGTGTGTGTGTGTGTGTGTGTGTGTATATATATATATATATATATATATATATATATATATATATATATATATATATATATATACACTCACCTGCCACTTTATTAGGTAGCCCATGCTAGTAACGGGTTGGACCCCCTTTTACCTTCAGAACTGCCTCAATTCTTCGTGGCATAGATTCAACAAGGTGCTGGAAGCATTCCTCAGGGAGTTTGGTCCATATTGACATGATGGCATCACACAGTTGCCGCAGATTTGTCAGCTGCACATCCATGATGCGAATCTCCCGTTCCACCACATCCCAAAGATGCTCTATCTTCTATCTTCTTTTAAAGCCATATGTGATGTTTCATAAATGTACACCTGTAAAAATTGCTTTTAGCCTGCGTGTTGGAGAGTTTGAAGATATTGGAAAGGGTTGATATGTTTTCCTTTACTGCTTTAAGACCAGTTGAGCAAAGAAGGAACATATATATATGTTTATGTATGTATTACAGTCTGTTTAAGGGTACCGTGCCGTTTCCTGCCACAGAATGACATAGAATGGTTTTATTTACACACTCTGTTCACCTCAACCAGTGACCCCAACATTGGCATATAAAGCATAGTTTACCACATCCTATCTTTGACTTTATTGCCAAGCAGATAAGCTTGTGACAGGATGTCAGCCAATGCGGGGGACTGCCCCTAGTTGAAGGAGGGCTATATTGTGACCATGTTTTGTCAGAAATATCTTCTTCATTTTTATACCACCAGGCAGTCTCTAAAATACTCAGCCACAACCATAATTTTATAATATAACTCTTATATATAAGTTCAGCGTGTTTTCTAGTAGATCTTCTTTGTTTGTTTCCTCCACTTCCTCTTACATCTCTGCTATCGCTCCCCTGACAAAATATATGGATGCATGACATAAACAATTAGACAATTTGGGGTGCAACAATCCATGTAGATTAAAAACACATAGTTTCACAATTATTATGAGGTTGGATATATATATATATATATATATATATATATATATATATATATATATAATGAATCCATATATTGTATTTTTTTAAGGTTATCGGAAGCTTTTTGATGTGGTGGAGGATCTCTAAGTAGATCTGTTGTTTTATGGAGCCATTGGAGGTGTTGTAGGAGGTTACACAGTTCTTTAAATGTAACTTACGCTAGAACTATGAATTCTCTTACAGTATGTCTCTCTTTCTTTTTGGACACCCTGGCTGTGAGTCTAATAACCAAACACACACATGCACATAGCACCAATTTAAAGATTTGAGTAAATTAATACACCTGATATTACAACCCTTCTAGATGACGGGACCCAAGAAAAGAACAAACGTCCAATTTACACTAGCAGATTCCCTCACTAACTGTCATCTTTTGCAAACCCACATTTTTCTACAAGCTGTTTAACAGATCAGATTCAGTGGTGCACCAGATATTTGTAAAGTGAGCTTCTCAGGAGGGGTCTAAACTCAGGGAAGCAGGTTTCAGATTGAGCTGTGGTTTTCCGCTTGGTCATAGTACTCGACGAGTGTCGGTGTACCGTAGCATAAAACTGTTTTTGGACAGTAGAAAGTGCAGGGGACCAAAACAGACTTTTAAAAAAGTGCAGGGGACATGTTCCCAGTGCAATCAGGTTCTCTAAAGATGACATGGCTGTTATGATTCTGGGCTGAATGATTCTCTGCTTATCACTGTCAGGCTGAGTGCTTGTTCTTTCCTCCAATCCCAATCAGTGCTGCTGAGCTCACCTTGTCTCCTGTCTTTATAAGCGTCTACTGGTGATCAAGATCTGGCCTTATTCTTACTGGATTCTCTGACCCGCTCTTTGATATTCTGGACCACAACCGTGTTTCTGATTATCATTCGGATCCGTTTGCCTGAATCTTCCTCCACGGTTCTGACCCTGCATCCATTGTCCAACCACCAATTCCAGCCTTAGCTCTGGATGTCTTTTGCCCAAGTGGGACTAAGTTGTCAAATCTGACCACTGAGACCTGCCAAGCCCAAGGTTTGTATAGTCACCTCCAAAGATCTGTCAATGGCTTTTGCTGTGAAGAGAGCCAGACTGTCTCACCTCGTCTTCATCATCACCCTGCTGTCAGCTCACTAAGGAACCAAACTTCTTCCACCTGAATCCTGACCGCTTTAGTGGCCTTTTCTCTGAGTTTTCTTGAACTCGTCAAATTGATCCCAGGCACTAACCCGTCTCTCCCTCCCCAGTGGTTCCTGTCGCTGACTGCCTGTTATCCGGAAGATTTATTTTTGAAGAAATCTTTCAAATGCTCATGTTTGTGTCTGGATGAATTCTTGGGTCCCCGTCTGTCAGGTCATTATGAATGGCATTTTCCAATCCAAAATCTTTTTACTCTTAAAGCAAATTTGAAAACAACATATTGTTAAACAAAGTGCTGTACGTCCAGAAAATAAGTAAAAAGGGTTAATAAAGTAATAAAAAAACATAAAAATTTTGAGCACAAAAAAATCACTTAAAAGAACAAACAGCCCATGTGAAGAACACCAGGCGAAAAAATAATTATTTAGAAGAAGCATTCCAAGATGTAGAGGCAGGCCTTTCCATAACTTGGGGCAGGTCATCAAAGCCTACGACCTCCGAGGTGGGCTTTAGCCCTCTCGTTGGAACTGTCAGGGTTTGGTTGTGGTTTGGAGGACCCAAATGCAGAGGCAGAAAGGCTGAGGTGAATACTTGTAATTTTAATGATGAAAATGGTTAACAAAGGCAGTCCAAAAATCCAACTAAAAATGTAACAGACCAGAACCATGGAGACATCAAGGGAAAACATGTACAAGGAGCCAGGGAGAGACGAGGTGAGACGACGACAGCGATGATAGGACCAGCAACAACAGAGGAACCAACAAAGAGTGAAAGCAGAGGGAGAGCATATATAGCTGACAGAGACAAAGGCAGGGCTAACGAGCAGACAAGGAGCAGGTGTGAGAGTAGACAAAGAGGGAGCCAAGGGGAAAGGAAAACACACACACACACAAGACAACAGAGGACAACAGAAAAACATGAGAACATAAATCTAGAAATTACAACAAAACTGGAATTAAACCAATAAAACTAGGAAACAAGGAGCAAAGTAAAGTACAACAGAACCAAGACCATGACCGGAACAGCCAAGAGCAGCAGGCCAGCTGACTTTAGAGACCATAAAGAAGAGTACGGGTGAAGCAAGTCAGAGAAATGTGGATAGAGTGCTTTAAAAGAGCTTTAAAATCAGTGCTATAGCAGAAGGTGAGCCAGTCAAGCAGCAGCCACAAAAGGAGTCAAGTGTTTCTAACAATGTGATTGAGTCAGAAGATGAGCAGCTGGATTCTGACTTGTGTGTAAAATCTAGGTTTGCCATCTAATTTCACCAACAGATTGGTGGCGGTGGATTTCATTTATGTAGAGCTGAGAGTCTTCAGCATCTACATTATTTTGTCTGTGTAGAAGAAATGGATTTAACCTATTCGTTCCTTTTATTCATGTAAGACGGTTCATGCTGAGCATCAGAGAAGAGTAAACAGGTGTAAATACTTTAGAGCCAAAATCATCTCTTTTCTGTTCTTCCTCTCCCTTCACTTACCATGCACTCTTCCCAACACCAGTGACTTGATAGCGTTAAACTCTCCATCAGATGTGAGGTTGAAGTCTTCCTTGGTATTTTGATCAACCTAACAAAAGACACAAAAAAACAATTCTTTTATATTAGCTTATTTTAGTGATAGCCTTTAGTTTTTTCATAAACCTGTCTGTATGTATGGTGTAGTGGCTCCATTTTACTGAAACTAGATTTGAAAATAAAAGACGGATTCCCTCAGGGAAGTTCCTTCAAAGATCTCATACGGTTGTGAAGTTTACTTTTACTATCAGATTGTAAATCAGCGGGGGAGAATTTTCTACAGTCAGAGACAGAGCTGTGCTGCTAGTTGCTTTCAGAGGCACTAAAGCAGGGAGTTAAAGGTCCAGGCACCCTAGTGCCTAAAAGTAGGCATAATAGGCAATCATTTATAGATTATAGGCTGCAGAGAACAGTCCCAGGGAAAAATAAATTCTAGAAAAGTTATGAAAATTTATATTTGGTTGTGTGATGTAAAGGAAAGACAACATTATACACACCCGGTGTTATGAATTCTTGAGGACTCCTAGATAGAGCGTAATGATGGAAAATATTTTTATCCTGAATGCAAAATGTTTACATATTTATTTGAACAATTTTGGTACAATTTCTGCTCTAGGTGGGTTGCTCTGTCAGCTAAAGGTACGTTTTAGAATCTTTAAACTCCAGTTAACGATTGATCAATTGTTAAAATATTTGACATTTATTTCAATAATCGATTCATCCCGATTAACAAAAAAAAAAACACCAATAACTGAAAAGGACCCAATAATCACTGTTGAGTGTGATGATTGTTCTGTGTCTTGGTCGTCTAAAACTCCAGGGGCCTCATTTATAAAGTATGTTGGGGCACAATGTTTGACGCACAAGTTGGGATATGATCAAGCTTTTGACCCGATGTGAAAATGTGCAGCAAGCGTGCAAACCTTGTCAGTAAACATTTTACCATTTCAAAACCTAAACTAAATAGTATGAAGTATGATTCTATTTGTGCATTTTTAACGTAACTCTTTGGCTCTGTGCTGACCACAGTACAGAGGCTTATCAAGGCCCAGTTACAGCCCCCTGTTAGACATGACCTCTTGTGAAATGGCATTTCTATAAATGACACTAAGTGAATTATATGATGTAATTTTCTTTATATTAAGAAAAACAAATATAGTTTAAGCATCTTTAAAGTTGTAGGGAAGCGACTGTTCCAACCGTTGCATTTCTCGATTCTCCCAAGTGGTGCACGATTTTACACAAGTGAATAAAGGGAATGTTTTGGTCATGGCTGGTTTGTCAAAAGCATTGTTGCTAACCAGTTAGCAACTTAGTGCTAGTAGGTTCCCAATGGGAAATTCCATTGGGACCAAGTAGCACTATATTGGTGACTTAGAAACGACACTGTCAAGGAACGCTATGGACAGAGGAAACATGCAAGAGGAGGAGAGTTTAGTGTCTGAGGTCTTGGATGAGTCTCCTCCATCATACATTTTTTATTTAGAGTAGAAAAGTGGGGACAAAGATGTTGTGGAAGAGGACGCCAGGGCGGCAGAAGCTTGGTTTGGTGTAGAAGGCTTCCAGCCGTACATGTTTGAGCCCTAGCCTCACAACGCTGCCAGTTCTGTTAGCTCTATGCCTGCCGAAGACACAGACGTCCATCCCCATGAACACTGGGACGGAACTCAATGGGAAAGGAAATTATTCTTATTTGTTGTTTGAACCGTCGCGTATATTAGCTGCGACATAAGAATCAAGATGCTATGACCGAAAAAATTTGATTGACTGTTGATCGTTGATATATGATTGGCCGAATTTAAGTGTACAGGTGGACGTAAAACTAACTGGCCTGCATAAGATAATGAAAAAACCCACAGATTTTAGGACAGGATTTTTTTTTAAATAGAAGTTTTCTAAATTTTGGGACAATACAGTCTGATAAAGAGTACATTTATATTCAAGTCTAAGCCAGAATTATTTGAAATTTAAATATTATTTCCCTACGACTTTAAATGGAGGCTAATTTCCTTGAAATTTAGTGCGGTACTAAATCATATGGTAATGAAACGAAACACTTCAAAGTTATATATTTTGATAAAGAGTCACAGTAAAACTGTTAATGGGAGAATAACTAGGCTAAGTTTGCATTACTTTGAAGTGACATGATGTATTTTACTCTCTCCATGTTTCCTGCTATGTTTGTAATTGAGAGTCAGAGCATGAAATTCTGCAAACATTGAGGCCAGAACTTTATTTTCCACACCCTGTCATTCTGATGTACTACTTTACAGCCATAATGGAACATGGTCTGTAAACCTAAAAGAATCGAGCACAAAGGGCATTCTGATAACAGCCAGAACACAGCAATACGACATGCGGCTAGTGTGATTTCCTCTTTACTGGGTCATTTTTTACGAGGTCGTGGGGTAGAGATGATGATATAGTGTCCACTTGTGAGGCTGCTGGTCATCAGGAAACAGCTGCATGAAACCCTCACTAAAGTTCACCTTACATCCTCGGAGCATTTTGATAACAGCAGAGTGATTCAGGATGATGGAAAGAGACACGACAGAGTGCACTTCATATTTCACCGCAGCCACACATGCAGTGAATCAAGATGAGGTCACCTTGTATTTTATCTCACATTGTTTATAATTAAAGAGACATTCAGGCTGTTGGCTGCTGGTTGTAAGTGCCGTCCTCATACATCAAACCAGGCTGCTGTGAACAAGCTGGGAGATTTGCTGGATCCAGATAAGATTACGGTGCTTCATATTTCATTTGAAGTGTAATTTAATTAGTTGGTTGATCTATTTTTAATCAACATGAAAAGATTCAAAGTTGGTTTTGATGACCGCGCCAGATGGCTTCAATCCAGGGAGTGGGTTGCTTTTTCCGGGTCAGGCAGCAACAACATATTACTGTTTAAATATGTCCACAAAACATTTGTCTAAGAAATCCTTTCTTCTGACTCATTGATGATGAAGCCAGTTTGCACTTAAAGGTACAATAAAAATCAATAAATGATGCCATTAACACTTTAGAAAACTCAGGGTCTACATTTGGTTTAAGATAAAAAGCTCCACAGGAAGTGTATTGGATCACAATGTAAAAATAAACGTCTAGGCAGATTCATAGTTAGTAACAAAAATTTTAATCAGAATATCACAGTTACAGAAAAGAGGAAATGAACCGTCGCTATAGATTTTAGTCATAGATTTGGCAGATCACTAAAAGTTGAAAGAACAGCAGATTCCAATTCAATCTGACAAACTCACATGGAGAGAAAAGATAATTAGAAGAAACTTATTGATACAAATACTTAGTCTTTGGCGCTCAGACCTCAGCAGGAAACATAGCGCTGAATTTTGATGGATATGCATGAACAGGAGTAAAGAACAGCCCCCCCCCCCACCCCCCAGGCCTGAAACTGGTGGTGGAGTGGAGAAGATGAAGTTGGTCAGTCTGTAGACTGCTGGTTAGCGAGACGGTCTGCTGAGCTTTATGGGGAGATCCAGCGGACTGCGTGAGCTGATACTAGAGCTTCACTCGGGGACCTGGAAGATGGAAGTCCAGTTTGGATAAAACAGGTTGAGAGAACCTGTTCATGATGAGCAAGCATGAAGTGACAGTGGAGAGGAAAAACTCTGGCAGAACCAGGCTCAATATGGCGGTCTTCTGCCGGACCGGTTGAAATGAGACACGGAATGCAGTAAGAGTCCCGGAGGAATGACACTCTGATGACGCTTTAGCTATGATGGTGGAGGAGGGGCTGGAGGTGGGTTGGAACGGGTCATCTGAATGAAGTTACACAGCGTAACCACCGCCGGCGCACCAGGCAGCAGACAGGTGTGGATCGGAGGCCTTTTAAGATGAACTTTGGAATCTGATTGGCTTTCGTGGAGGCGTGGTTCAAAGCTGATTGGCTGTGTCATAGGCGGATGAAGGCGAGTAATCAGTTTATTCGGTTGAACTTACGCCTTGGCTCCATTTGTTGAGCAGCACAGGATCCCTATTTCATAGTTTTTTTTATCATTTACCTGCCCAAGATGGATCCATGTTGCCCAGAAAGTGTGAGAAATCAGAGGATTTTGGGATTAATGCCTTTTCTATTTATATTGCTTTATGCTGATGAACCATCAGTATCTACAATAATTCACTGAATAAACCCTTCAACTATGTTTTTTAAATAATAAAATTAGCCACTGCATACTGTAATGAAACCTATCACAACCATGAATATAGATTTGTTCAAACATTTGTTCCAGCTGTACAGGCTTGGTTTATTATTATTTTTTTTTACTTTGCACATTCTGAGCTTTATTTATAAATGCAGACTTAGGGAAGAATTTCACCTGCAAGAGATAAACCAGGAATGAAGTGTTTATATGAACTCCTCCAAGTCCAACTTGTGATAAATATTTGCAAATTTGGCTTTAGGAATCCCTTAAAAGCTTGTTATATTTGAATGCTTTTTGCACCGTGGAAAGCAGAGCAGATGTTGGGCTTTGTGCTTGTCCTCTCTTACTAGATGTGAGTGAAAATTAATAATCCTTTTTTTATTATTTGAACATTTTTCATAATTGTAATAAAATCTTTTGCTTTTAAGTTTATGTTGGATATAATGAGACAGCAACTGCAGAAGAACTGGTCATCCTGTGCTGCATGGGCTCCGTATTTAAAACTAGTATTGCAATATTGAAATTGATGTCTGTGTGTATACATGAAGAACTGCATACTACTTGGATGTAAAATAATTGCAATCATGGCTTTGTAAAGCTGCTGCCTACCTTTGTGAAGCAAGAAAAAGACTAATACAAAGTGAATCCAGTAGAACTTTTTATTGCCTACCTGGAATGGGTGACAATAGTTGAATAAACTTTTGGCTCTCAAAATGGTATCGTTGCTCTATGTGTCGGTACTCGCTGATACCATCATTTTAGTGCTGGATCGGGGCCCCGCCCAATACTGGTATCAGTGCAACACTATTTAAAGCCTTAACATTTTCAACATTTCTTTCTGGTCAAACTGGGCTTCAAAATTAATCTGCAATAGCCATAAAAAAGAAAAAAAAATTCCAACGCACATAGCAATATTTAAAAAAGTTAATCAATGGGGGTGCAAAAAGAATCATGTCATCTGCAAAAAAAAACTAGATTTGATGACCAGAGTTCAAGATGCCCCTCTGCTCTGCAAACAGGATTTTTATGGTTGTTCTAGCAGAGTCCATCACACACGGAACAGGCACAGATTTGAGATGAGAAAATGTTTTAATTCCAGTTAAACTTAATCCAGATACCTAGCCTGACGTAGTCCTACTCAATTCTAGTCAGAATATGAGTCTGATACTGCTCCATAGAGCTGTGATTATGGGGCGTGTTTCGAACGAACCAGGGAAAAAAATGCCTCTGCACTCAATTGGATAGACCTACAACCAATAAGATCAAACAACAAAAATCAAAGCGTGCAGTTGCACGCCTAGAATAAGAAGATGAGCCTTGATCACGTTTCTCTGTTCCTCTTTTAAAATTAATTTGCTGTCGATATCTTCTAGAACAGACCTAATAGCAGAATCTACTCACCCAAACTCTCCGGTGGCAGCCATTATTGTTGTCACCCAAGCGCGCTTTGGTGACGTGGTTGATTACGTTACTGTTGATCATCTGTCCATCATCGTATAAAGCCCGCCCTGACAATTTGATTGGCCCGCCACATATTGTGCTAGCATACTCGCGCTACTATTGAGCAATGCCAGACCGAAGTTCCCAACCTCAAACCTTGTGGGCGGGACTAAGTTCGGAATGGCACCCAGGCTACCAGATACCTGCATTTAACTGGTGTTTATGCCATGTGTGACATACAGGTGCTGGTCATAAAATTAGAATATCATGAAAAAGTAGATTGATTTCAGTAATTCCATTTAAAAAGTGAAACTTGTATATTGTATTCATACATTACATACAAACTCATATATTTCAGATGTTTATTTTGTTTAATATTGATGATTACAAATGACAACAAATGAAAATCTCAAATTCATCATATCAGAAAATTAGAATATTACTGAAGACCAATAAAAACAAAGGATTTATAGAAATGTTGGCCAACTGAAAAGTATGAACATGAAAAGTATGAGCATGTACAGCACTCAGTATTTAGTTGGGCCTCCTTTGGCCTGTATTACTGCAGCAATGCGGCGTGGCATGGAGTCGATCAGTCTGTGGCACTGCTCAGGTGTTATGATAGCCCAGGTTGCTCTAATAGTGGCTTTCAGCTCTTCTGAATTGTTGGGTCTGGTGTATTGCATCTTCTTCTTCACAATACCCCATAGATTTTCTATGGGGTTAAGGTCAGGAGAGTTTGCTGGCCAATTAAGAACAGGGATACCATGGTCCTTCAACCAGGTACTGGTAGCTTTGGCACTGTGTGCAGGTGCCAAGTCCTGTTGGAAAATGAAATCTGCATCTCCAAAAAGTTGGTCAGCTGCAGGAAGCATGAAGTGCTCTAAAACTTCCTGGTATGTGGCTGCGTTGACCTTGGACCTCAGAAAACACAATGGACCAACACCAGCAGATGACATGGCACCCCAAACCATCACTGACTGTGGAAACTTTACACTGGACTTCAAGCAACGTGGATGAAGTGCCTCTCTTCTTTTCCTCCAGACTCTGGGACCTTGATTTCCAAAGGAAATGCAAAATTTACTTTCATCAGAGAACATGACTTTGGACCACTCACCAGCAGTCCAGTCCTGTTTCTCTTTAGCCCAGGCAAGACGCTTCTGACGCTGTCTGTGGTTCAAGAGTGGCTTGACACAAGGAATGCGACAGCAGAAACCCATGTCTTTCATACGTCTGTGTGTGGTGGTTCTTGAAGCACTCACTCCAGCTGCAGTCCACTCTTTGTGAATCTCCCCCACATTTTTGAATGGGTTTTGTTTCACAATCCTCTCCAGGGTGCGGTTATCTCTCTTGCTTGTACACTTTTTTCGACCACATCTTTTCCTTCCCTTCGCCTCTCTATTAATGTGCTTGGACACTGAGCTCTGTGAACAGCCAGCCTCTTTAGCGATGACCTTTTGTGTCTTGCCCTCCTTGTGCAAGGTGTCGATGGTCGTCTTTTGGACAACTGTCAAGTCAGCAGTCTTCCCCATGATTGTGTAGCCTATAGAACTAGACTGAAAGACCATTTAAAGGCTTTTGCAGGTGGTTTGAGTTAATTAGCTGATTAGAGTGTGGCACCAGGGGCCATCAATTTTGAACCTTTTCACAATATTCTAATTTTCTGATATGATGAATTTGAGATTTTCATTTGTTGTCATTTGTAATCATCAAAATTAAACAAAATAAACATCTGAAATATATGAGTTTGTATGTAATGTATGAATATAATATACAAGTTTCACTTTTTAAATGGAATTACTGAAATCAATCTACTTTTTCATGATATTCTAATTTTATGACCAGCACCTGTATGTGGGATAAGTAAAGCTCTTAAAAATGGAAATCAACAAACATGTTTTTTTTTTTTCAAATGGTATTTTATTTTAAAAAGTCTTCTTATAATCACTTTTTTTTTTTTTTTTTTTAACTTTTAAAGAAATTTCATGTGCATCTTGGAGAACAAGAAAGATGATCATTTTTAAAATGTCTTTTAAGCCTGCTCTAATAATGTATTTTCGTATTAATGGTGAACTATTTGGATAGGCGTATTGTTTGTTATATTACCTACTTTAGAACATAGACTTTGTGATTACATGCTGGTTTTATTGCTATTTCAAAGCTTTTTGCAAAACATTACCAATCCCTTACAAACACAAATGATACAAGTCATAATTAATATTAGTAAATAACAAAAAATACATGAATCATACGCTTATGGTATCGAAACAAAAAGCATCAAAATAACCCTAACCCCCTTTTTTTTAAGAATATTTCTAAATACATGTCTTCTTGGCATTTACACAATATTGTAAACCAACATTTTTTTCTGCTCCTGAATACCTTTTTGCGCTCCTACGGCATATTAAGGACGGTGTTGGCAGAATCTTAGTTATGAGAGAAACTTTCAGAGCTGTATGAGTGGCTGCTGTTATTTGATATTTTTCTTCATATTTAAACCTGATATAATCTTGGTAGACAGGGCAGGTTTTTCATCAAAGCTGACATTTTAAGCCTGCCTTTCTATAGAGGGATATTTACACCGAAACAATGACAATAGATCATCGCTCTGTTCAGATTATACAGTTAATTAAAAAGACAGGAGTTACAGGGCGCTCCCTGCTCTTTCATGAATAGCTAGAATTACCAACATGATCTCAGGTGAAGATATTAGGGTCATGCTTTTTTCAAAATGCTGAGAGCGTTTTTAAGATAAAAGATACAATAGACTTAACGCACTTATCCTTCAGCTGGAGTGGAACAAAAGCAAAGCTTTGATTAAAGCTTAAGGCTCTATTTTACTGAGTATTGTGTTGTGCTTTACTTCTAATTATGCATTAATCTAATTCAGCTATTTAACTTTGTCTATTGTGATGTTTAGTCAAAAGTCAGTTTTTGTTGCATCAAAGCTTTTTTTTTTTAAACCCTTTCCAAAAGAGCTTCATCCTCTGACCATGATCTATGATAGGTAAGCATGATTTGTTTTTGCTGTTCCTGCGAGCACGCATACCTTCACAGACACCGTGTGTGTCCGTCTGCTGATAGTGATGCTGTGCAGCTGTCCATCAGCCAGATTCCTCCCGCTGCTGCTTCTCAGCACTTCAGCGTCTCGGTTGCCTTCCAGTTTGTATCTCACCTCCAGCTTATCTGAACAAAAAGAAAGTTTGTTTTTTTTCCTCCCCACAGTTTAAACTTTTACCTTTCTCTTGGTGAAAATATCTTCTTAATCTTTTCACCTCTGTTTGAAGAGGCCTTTTTCACCTCAGTGATGAATCATCCATAAAGCTCTTCATACTAAGTGGATTACTGGGTAATTCCTTTTTTATCAGACAACTTTAAGTCTAATTAATTTTCGTAATATTTGGAGCTTTAAAAGTAAACTCAGTGGAAACATTTTGTAAGGTTTATAGCAGGGGTCTTTTCCAAAAATTGTGTTCTATCAAACTGGTCCTATAGTCACTCTATTACATATGGAGTCATGTAAAGAAGGTAATTTCTCTCTGGGATTATTAAAGTATTTCTGATTCTGATTCCTGGTTGATGGGACAGGTGTTGTGAATGAAACGGTGTCCAGCTTTAAGAGCTCCTGTGTGTCACTTAATGTGTGCATTGGTGACTGAAAGACATCTTCTGCCTCCATTTATCTGTTTACTACAGTGTGTTGAATCCATCTTAATGTGTATTTAAAGACATTTCAATTAGTGGAACAAAATTGCAGGGGGGAGTATAAAAAAAAAAAGTCTAATCAACCAAAACTTTTGCTTTATTATGACTGTACCTATAAGAAAACAAGATTAAGCTTGAAGAAAACTCAAGACATTCACATGTATTTTTTGTTTCTTAAAAGAGGAGAAATCTTTTGTGTTGGAGTCTAAGGAGTTTCTAAAGTAGAACAGGAGGATTTTACTCGTAAGGATTTATGTGGACACTTAATTTTAAGAGCTTTTACCTGACAAATTCACGGCCTGCACACAACCTTAATGCCCCGCTTGCCATTAGCTTTCTGAGTCATTATGAACAGGGAAGGAATCTATTTGAAGCTAATCTAGGTAAAAGGACCAATTTGCTGAGACTCCTGGATGCTGAAAATGTGATTCTAAGTTCAAAGTTTTACTACTTCCACTCTTAAAAGGCACAACTTAATTATCCAACAAAGTTTGTTGTTTTATTAAGCATTTCCCCTGATCTATCACCTATTAGCAGCTTGAAGAAAGTCCCATTTCTGCAGCCCTGTTTATTTTGACGCAGGGATAAAAGCACAACTTAACAGCTGGTGAAGCTGTACTGATGAAACCCAGCAGGGGTTAATGAGGTAAACCCAGATGGAGAGAAGATCTGGACGATTTTTACAGGAATGACATGGAAGACATTAAAATAGATGAGGAAAGTTGAGTGGGATCAAAGGAAAGGAGGAAGCCAAACTGAGAGAAGTTAAGACTAAAGCCGAGCAATTCAGAAAATCAGTTTTGGTTAAAAAGGAATCTAAAGAGAAACATTCTTTAGACATGAAAGAGATATGGAAACAAAGTTTCTCACCATGCTTGTTGATGAGCACAGCCATGTACTCGCTGTAGTAGGAGCTGACGTAAAGTAGCAGAGCTGGACTTTGTGCCGTCCTGAAACTTAAAGAGATGTTCTCCCCTCTGAGCGTCGTGTCGGAGTGGATGGAGGACGGCAGAGCGCTGCCGTTTCTGGACATCTTGTTCGGATCCTTGAAGGTGTATCTGATCGATGTTCCAGATTTGAAGCTGGCTGATAACTCTAACAGACAATAAAGTCACATTACTGTCTATCTGTGACACATGGGGAGACTTTCAGACGACGGAAATATTTTAAAACTATCATCAAGATTATTTATTTAATTATGATTTTTAAGTTTTTTAAAGGACTACTCTCCCCTAAATCATTTTCCTACTAAACTATATAGCTGTTTATTAATGCTATCTACATTGTATTTGTTAAAATCTTAGAATCTTTGGCGCCCTCCTCTGGTTAAAATGGGATTACTGACTCTGATCCTTTAACTGCTGGCTTAGCTAGAGATGTGACGTAACTTAGAAAAACCAGTGGCAGCAGCAATAGTTGTTTGCTTAATGACTGATGCTAAATTATTTTGCTTTTACGCTTTTCTTCATTATAAAAGATTATTAAAATAGTTAATGCATAAAAATTGGATAAAAGAAAATCTTTGTCCTGTCTAGTATAACGATTTGGTACAAATATTGTGTCAGTCAGTCATATCACTTCAAAAATATGATTAGAAAAAAAAGTTTTGTTGAAGAGAAAAAAATATTCTAAATAATGAATCAAAAAAGGAAAAAAAGGGAATGTGCCTTGTCTTTCTAGTCTGAAATGATCTTTTGGGGTTTATTTTGTGCTGCTGGTCCCAAAGAGTAGCAAAATGCTCATATCTGGGATTGGTCTGCCTTGTCTGGTTGCTGTTATGTCAGAGTGCTACAGCCAGTCACAGATATGTTAAAGTACTGTAAACCTGAAAGGAAAAGACGCCTGACACTGACTAACCTTTTATTTTGTTATTGCTGTGAAGCTGATATTCCAATGTCTACGAGTTCCTCCTTGGTGGCAATAGAGCTGGATTCTTCTCATGCTTACTTATTGGATTCTCCTATTATTTTAATCATTAATAAATCAATAAGTGATGCATTATTTCCTCCAAGTCTGACATCTGGTCAGGAGACACCTGTTAGTTGTTTCCCACCATTCAGCACTCACACGGAGTTTCTAATATATTCATGGACAGGTATTATCAATTTCAGTTCTTCTTTTGTTTTATATGGAACAAACCAAGATCGACCACAAATGATCCTCTTTTCAAATATCACTTGTTTCACATACTTTTCTTTAAACCATCTCTTAAGAGGGCTCTGCAAACATGCTTTGATTGTGATTTTCTTCAATTTCACTTTTTTTTCCTACTATAAACTGTAGTTAGAGCCTCTCTAAGAACATTACATTATATTTCACATTGCGCCACTTTATTCATTCGATGTCATAATACATCAAAATCACTTTCTGCCCACCTACCTCTACTAAATGATTATTGACTCAACTGCACACATGCCATCACCAAATGGAAAAAAGTGTGGGAGTCCATCTTTGTTTCCTTTCTCTCCATTTTAAAAGTGTTTCTAGTTGATCAGCCTGGTGCTTTCATTTATCCTTGAAAGGAGGTTCAAGAAGTTCAGTTTCATTTGTTTTTCTCTAAGACATGTTGGTGTGTCTTTGGAACTGCACATGTGAATATCACATTCTATGTGGAAAACCTTTTAAATAGTTTTTTACATTTGCATTACAAACATTTTTACAGTATCTAGAAGAATTACCCGAAAAAGTGTTTTTTTTTCTCTTAGACACGAGTATTGATGTGTATTCATAGGCAACACTAACATAAATTGGCTGAACACAGGAATGAAACTAGAAATAAACAAAACAGCTCTATTTCATGATCTTGTTAGGAAGAACTGCACAAATGACACTGACCCAAACTGCTTAGAAGATGGAATAATGGGCAGTGAATGTTAAACTTAATAGCCCTGTGATTGTTTTCACCACAATCTGTCATCCTTTAACTCCGAAACCATGAGGAAGCTCTTTGAATGAGACATAAAACTCTAAAAAGAAACAAATAAATGTAGATTAAAAAGTAGTAAACTTTTTATTAATGTTAAAGTTTATGAGGTGTTAATCACATTTAAATGATTAGCTAAAATATATGATTTGGCAGTTAATAAAGCAATACAATCTCCAAAAGAAAAATGTTTTTGAACTACCTTTAACCTTTGCTAAGGTTCATGAAGATGAAGACTCCATGTTTGAATTGTTAGTGTCAAGGCTCCAGTCTGTGTGTTTGTTTTTTGTGTTCGTCTCCCTTCCTCCAACAGGAGGCGCCTGGTTCTGGTCCGCCTCCTCACACACCTGCTGATGGTTACCTCGTTAACGGAGTGCTCTTAAGCTGCTGATTGCCACTACTTTGACGCCTGAGTGTTTGCCAGTTTTGGGCACTCTAGCCAAGCTGAGTTTTTGCTGAGTAAGACTGAGTTCTTGTCAACCTGAGTTATTTTTGAGTTTTTTTTTTGTCTTTGCCTCTCGGCAGGAAGTCATCCTGCAAACTGGATCTTTCGGACCTTCACTCCCTGGAAGGATCAACTGAGCCTCAAACTGAGCTGGGGATTGAAACGGGAGGTTTGGATCCACTTTCCCAAAGAGGACGTTGAGTTTACACACTGAGCAAGGGAATCATCTCCACAATGACCCGTTCAAGTACCGCAGGAAATCTGAGTGGCAGTCAGTTTCTCTGTTCACCTACAAACGACCGCGTTTTGGGTAAACCCTGTTCCGCCCTCCACGGAATCAGACAAACACTGGAACTACAGCATACAGACTGGAGTCTAAGATTCAACAACTTCTCTGGAAACGTGAGTCAGCAACCTGATCCTCTTCTCCAAGTTCACGAATGAAATTTCCTGCTGAGCCTGAACTAATCGCTGTGTCTTCCCCTCACTTTTCAGTTCCGGTTGAGCAGAGTTAAGAGCAACACTGCTCTTTGCATTATCTCTTCAATAAAACCTGTTAAACCTTTTCCCCTGGTCTCTCTGTAAAAGTTTCTCTGCATTTGGGTCTCATCTTTAGTTAATCATGACAGTTAGAACAAAATTCAGAGTGCATCTACACCTTATGAACAACGGACATTCTTTTGAGGACCAGAATGTTCACATATTGGACAAAGAAGATAGGTGGTTTGAGGCGCATGAAGGAAGCCATCTATGTTAAGAAAAAAACAACAACCTTGGACTCAGATTTCAGCTTTAAAAAATAGTTCAGCGATTGAGTTGATCCCTTCCCGCTATCATCTCAACCCCCTGCCCCTTAAGGGGGAACAGAGCACCTCGCCTCTTCAGCCAGGCCAATAATTCCCTTTAACGACCCACTTTTCAGAGACATAGACAAGTATCGGGTAATACAGGCTAAAGAAGAAACCAAATGACCTCCATTCCTAAAGAATCCCGTTCGTCCGGTTCAATTTGCATGTTTCTAAGCCAAAACAAGGCTTTGCTTTGGTCCACTCTATAAAGCCTTGAACTCAACGCTATTTCCGACATTTTAAATTGAAAAAGATTCTTGGATGGGAAGAGAAACGTTTTCAAACTTGGAAACAAAGTCCAGTGGATTGTTTTCTTATATTTTTTGGAATAAACCGGCAGTCAAACTTTGCTGTAAAAGCTTTATGAATAATGAGCCTTTGAAATGTTGTAGGCTGTTAATCCTGCTTCTAAAGTCGGTTTCTAATATTTTTATCCTTTGTTTGAAGTGCACAAACCTGTAGACTAACCAAGATATAACACGATCTTGTTATATGTTCTATAAGGATTTTACTAAGATTGTATTTTGTTTTAAGATAAAAAAATAAAAAAATAAAATCCAAATTTGGGTTTTATAAAAATTTATTTTTACAATAAAAATTGTTTAAAAAAAAAGATAATTAAGAATTATTAAGTTTATTAAATGGATTGTTTGACACCTAAGAAAATCATCAAATGCAAATGCATAGAAATTAATAAAAAAAATAAAAAAAGCAACAACGTCTATTAACGAACTACTTTAAAAACATAAAGTCTTATATATGATTATATATAATTTACAATCATTTAGGGTTATAGAGAAAATTCTAGGCAGGGCTTTGAAGCTTTGGAGCTGTTTCATAGATTCTTGAACATAAAAAAAAATGACTTTCTTAGCACTCATTCCTGCAGAGTGAATACAGTCTGTGCAGTTTATAGCCCTGTGCATAGTGGGTTTTTTTTTTTAGCTTCCTGAGGTCAAAAAGCACATTTTCTACTGCTCTCTGTACTTAGTTTAGCTCCAGTTACAGAGCTAAGCTATGTTTGTTCATAGCAGTCTAACTGCGTACCTGTATGGCAGAAGACTCCAGTGTAAGCAGACAAGCTGCAGTCACAGTGGAAGCCCTTGGCCCGCTCCACACAGCGTCCCTGATTCTGGCACAGGGATCCGTAGCTGCTACAGTGACCGGGGCAGCCGGGTCGAACCCCCGGCGTGATCTCTGCCCTTTCCTCCAGGTCCAGAGTGACTCCGTTCAGCTGCAGAGAGCGGATACAGCCTCGGAAACCCCTCTGTCTGGACGCTGTGCCTCCTAAAAGCAAGAAAATAAAAACAGCCTGTTTAAAGTGGCTCAGCTGTGTGAGACACCAAACTAAGGGCAAGATCATGTTAGAGCTACTTTTCCTGTCTGTCATCGGGAGTCTCAATTACTGCTATCTGAGTTGAAACGCCTACTTTTTTCTTTCTCTGTGGTTTTCTATTTATTCCACCTGACATTTCAACAATCCACAAGTCACAGCAGCTCCTGCAGAAGCCTCTCCATGTCAAATATAAACACAGAAAAGCAACAGGCTGTGGGTGGGAAGACGCATTAAAAGACGACACTAATCTGCTTTCCATACGCCTTTCTGTTGCATCTTTTCAGCTGCAGACTGGTTCATCTGGAAACTTGCAACCATAAAGAATTAATGTTTTGGTATTTTTTTCCCCCCAAATTACAATGTATATACTCAAATCTTTTTAACAAAACATCTAAAATTGCTGCCTAATTGACACAAGCTATTAGATTTTCTTTTCCGGTCTTGATAGACTTCAGGAAAGCACTGGAATTAGCGGCTTGCTAGCTCAAGTGCTAAGTCACCCATCCTGCAAACAGGAAGCCTGGGTTTGTATCCGCTTAATCCCACACTGCTCCCCGAGCGCCGCACAATGGCAGCACATTGCTCCCCACGGTGCTGGGTTACATGCATAGAGTTCCTTTCATTGTTCTGTACTTGTGACAGTGTAACGACAATAAATGGAAAAAAATATATACAGTGGGGCAAAAAAGTATTTAGTCAGCCACCAATAGTGCAAGTTCTCCCACTTAAAAAGATGAGAGAGGCCGGTAATTTTCATCATAGATATACCTCAACTATGAGAGACAAAATGAGAAAAAAGAATCCAGAAAATCACATTGTCTGATTTTTAAAGAATTTATTTGTAAAATATGGTGGAAATAAGTATTTGGTCAGTTACAAACAAGCAAGATTTCTGGCTCTCACAGACCTGTAACTTCTTCTCAGAGATGGGAAGTAACAAAGTACAAATACTTCGTTACTGTACTCTTTACTTTACTACTTATTTTTATGGCGACTTTTTACTTCTACTCCTTACATTTTTACACAAATATCTGTACTTTCTACTCCTTACATTTAAAGAAATTGGCTCGTTACTTTAGTTTTGAATCATTTCAATGGAGTTACCGTTATTATTTTTCAAGTCATCAATACCAAATTCAATCTAATTGGATGGGAATCTACGTTGCATTTGACGCACCGCTACAAGATGAATCGACAGATTTGGCGGTATTCATTCGCGGCAAATCATTGGAGCTTGGTGGCGGTGGCGTTAGCATAGTAGTATGGACGACGAGATGATTGAAAATGAACACAACGGAGATCTAGTCCTAATGGCAGACATCCATTTAAAATGTAGGCAACGGCATGAAAAAAGTGGTTTCTACTTTTACTTTTATACTTTAAGTAAATTTACAAGCCTGTACTTTGTTACTTTTACTTGAGTAAAGAGGTTTAATCAGTACTTCCACTTTTACCAGAGTATTTTTTAACACAAGTATCTGTACTTTTACTCAAGTACGGAAAGTGAGTACTTTTGCCATCTCTGCTTCTTCTGTAAGAGGCTCCTCTGTCCTCCACTCGTTACCTTCATTAATGGCACCTGTTTGAACCCGTTATCAGTATAAAAGACACCTGTCCACAACCTCAAACAGTCACACTCTAAACTCCACCATGGCCAAAACTAGAGAGCTGTCAAAGGACACCCGAAACAAAATTATAGACCTGCACCAGGCTGTGAAGTCTGAATCTGCAATAGGTAAACAGCTTGGTGTGAAGAAATCAACTGTGGGATCAATTATTAGAAAATGGAAAACATACAAGACCACTGATAATCTTCCTCGATCTGGGGCTCCACGCAAGATTTCACCCCGTGGGTTCAAAATGATCACAAGAACGGTGAGTAAAAATCCCAGAACCACACGGGGGGGCCTAGTGAATGACCTGCAGAGAGCTGGGACCAAAGTAACAAAGGCTACCATCAGTAACACACTACGCCGCCAGGGACTCAAATCCTGCAGTGCCAGACGTGTCCCCCTGCTTAAGCCAGTACATGTCAAGGCCCGTCTCAAGTTTGCTAGAGAGCATTTGGATGATCCAGACGATGACTGGGAGAATATCATATGGTCAGATGAAACCAAAATAGAACTTTTTGGTAAAAACTCTACTCGTCGTGTTTGGAGGAGAGAGAATGCTGAGTTGCATCCAAAGAACACCATACCTACAGTGAAGCATGGGGGTGGAAACATCATGCTTTGGGGCTGTTTTTCTGCTAAGGGACCAGGACGACTGATCCGTGTGAAGGAAAGAATGAACGGGGCCATGTATCGTCAAATTTTGAGTGAAAACCTCCTTCCATCAGCAAGGGCATTGAAGATGAAACGTGGCTGGGTCTTTCAGCATGACAATGATCCCAACACACCGCCCGGGTAACGAAGGAGTGGCTTCGTAAGAAGCATTTCAAGGTCCTGGAGTGGCCTAGCCAGTCTCCAGATCTCAACCCCATAGAAAATCTTTGGAGGGAGTTGAAAGTCCGTGTTGCCCAGCGACAGCCCCAGAACATCACTGCTCTAGAGGAGATCTGCATGGAGGAATGGGCCAAAATACCAGCAACAATGTGTGAAAACCTTGTGAAGACTTACAGAAAACGCCAACAAAGGGTATATAACAAAGTATTGAGATGAACTTTTGTTATTGACCAAATACTTATTTTCCACCATATTTTGCAAATAAATTCTTTAAAAATCAGACAATGTGATTTTCTGGATTTTTTTTTCTCATTTTGTCTCTCATAGTTGAGGTATATCTATGATGTAAATTACCGGCCTCTCTCATCTTTTTAAGTGGGAGAACTTGCACTATTGGTGGCTGACTAAATACTTTTTTGCCCCACTGTACATATTTTTACAAGGTGCAATAAAGATTACTGACCATTGTGATAAAAATCGTATATTTTGTAGAATAATTGCTGAGGAACTTACTTATGCTGTTAATAAAATCAAGCTCTTACTTAATAAAATAAAGCTTTATATGCCAATATATACTTTACACATATTAACATACAAATTAATTTCTTAAAAAAAAAAAAATCTAGTGAATATTTATGTAATTCTGAAATACGATGCTCTAAAAGAACATTTGAAATTTACTGTAATAATTCAGTAATGTGATAAAAAGAAAAACATATGGTGCCTGGCCACGAATGAAATGGGAAATGAAAAGTGAGTTTGTTTGTTTTTTCTGTAAGGGGAATGATTTCTGGTTTTAACAGTTAATCATAAGAAACTCCAAAGGTTTTTGGAAAAATAAACCCAGTGGGATTTGGGATATAAAAACATAGCAACATAAAGGTAGTGGATTCAAACTGTTAGATAATGTTGGGGAAATGCCCTCTGCTCAATAAGCACAAAAAGGTGTAAATTCTTGTTCACATAAGTTAAACAATAAAAATCACCAGGAAACAGCTGTATAGGACCAACACTGGTAATAAAGACCTAATCTATTCTTTTGTGTTATTTTCTTTTCAACCAATTAGTGATTAGAGATAACACAGGTTTTTCAAATGAAGAAGGGGTATTACACCTGAAGGAAAAAAAAATGTATTACCTTTTTACCCAAACTAGCTTTTAGCTTAATATCTACAGCCCTCATAACGATACAGGAAGCATGCTTGCTTGTTTGAATCCATATTTTCAGTTGTTCATGTTTTTAGATGAAGTTCAAGTTGTCGAGGTCAAAGCGACACCTTCCAATTCCTGAATGCTAAGCTTCCTTTCCAGACTCTTTGTAAAATTCATATAAGGTTTATGTCTGGGCAGCTCCAGATCATTATGTTAGTTTCAGTCAGAAGGAAAAATCGTGGTTGAATTCTTACATCCATTTTATGCTAAATCTGATTGGGGTTTGAATAATTTTGGGTTTAATTGTGGCTGAAAAGGAAAGCAGAAAAACACCAAAAAAGGAACATAGAAAAATGTTGGAAACACTTTTCTGACAACATCTGCTGAATGTCCTATTAAGAAAAACAAATCAATATTTCCAGACAATTTACCTGCTGCTCCCTTGTCCAATTTCACTGTTTGGGTGTTTTGCTTCTAGTTTAGATTCACTGACACGTAGTGGTACAATATTTACAGATTGATTAATGCTGATATTGAATAATGGAATTTCACGACTCCTCTCCAAATTTATCGGCAGGACTGAGGTGCCCATGTAGAATTTGAAATTAACTGAAATGATTAAATGATAAACCACAGTACTCATAAAGTTTGCTGCACTTCAGCATGTTTGGGAGGGATTAACATAATATGAGGGTTACAATTTGTTTACACCCTAATGCACCAGGATGGGCTGTAGGGTTAAATTACGACTCATATGCTTACACAGCTGATGAATCTGGAACTAATTTAGCACCCAGAAAGTTTTACCTCAGCACTTTCCTACTAAGATCAGTTTATGCTGCAAGCCAAACCACAGAAAGGCCGTGGAGTATTAACAGGCTAAACCAGCATTGCCAGAGAAATGACCCAGCAGAGGGTTAATCTGCATGAAGTTTGGCATGTTTTCCCAGTGCATGCATAGCTTCTCTTTTGGGGCTCTCTTTTCCTTCTGGAGCAAAACATGCTTTTTTTGCCCCGTCTCTTCCTTTTTGTCCTGCAGTTGAATGTAACCTGTTGATGGTGTCACATTCCTTTTATCCATAGATTGCTAGAGACAGGTACCAATCTCTGAGATCCTAAGTAGAAAATGGAGGGTGAAATAATATTACGACGAACCCAAAATAACCTACTTTTAACAAGTATCTGTAAAATTAAATCTTATTTTATTTAATTAAAAGCTTTCGGTAAGGTATAGACCTACACAGATTTTATTTGAGGGGATTGTGATTATATTATGAATCTGTTTTACAATAGATGAACGGGAATACCGGAGGAAACCAGGAAAAGAAAGGAATACTAGAAAAGGGCAGATCGAAAGCAAACGGGAGAGGATGGGCTCTATTCTGGAAGAGACTCCGGCAGGGCTGCAACAACGAATCGATAAAATCGATAAAAATCGACTTTTAAAAGCGTTGGCAACGAATTTCATCATCGATTAGTTGTGTCGCGCGATTAATGCGTCATCCGCCGCCGCCGTCATCACATCCACTTGACTGAAACGGGGGAAGAAAAAAATATGGCAGAGCGAGTCAGCGCCGCAGGCGCAGTGTTGCCAACTCAGCGACTTTTCAGACCCCTCCAGCGACTATTTTTCAAAAAAGCGACTAGCGACAAATCTGGCTACTTTTTACGGTGTCACTGGCGGCTTTTGGAGACTCTTACGTGAAAGCATGTATCGTTCCTACTCTGCCGTGGGGCGCCTCCCCCATACCAACCCCGTTCTCCCACAGGAGTCCCTCTCAGCGCTGCAGTCAGAGCCTCAGCGTCCAGACTGCAAATGAAGCGCGCATGCACCGGGATTGACGGCGCAAATTGATCACAATAATTAAAATAGCCTGCGCTTTGTAAAGCGAAAAAAGTGATAACATGCAACTTTTGTCAAAACAAATGAACATGGCACGGAGCACCATGTTTGTTTCGTTTTTAAAGTGGGGAAACGTAACATTAGTTTCTCAGGTAGCTCATCTGATGCTTTCCTTACCGTGTTAGTAGGTTACAGACAGTGATAAGGTTGGCTACTTATTTAACTTTTAATTTCATTTGAATTAGCTTAAGCAGCGTTTACATTTACTTTATAAATAAATTAACTTGCAAATTATGAGGGCAAGGCTTTTAAAGTTTAAATCTTCTGGCAAAGATAAAGTAAAGAGGATCCTGCAATTTATGGAAGTAAAGCAGAATAAGATCCAGCAAGATCAGTAATATGTCAATTAATTATCTGCCACATTCCCATGTAAATATCTGTCTTTGGAGGATGTGTTTTTTTAGCACCCCTAGTTCTCTCATTTTTATTCCAAATACAATTTATAATTTGAATCACAGGGCTATTTTTATCTCTATGGTTCAGTATTTTCTCAAGTAGCAACTTTAACTGCTATACTTTCCTGTCTTAAAAGGCAGAACTTTTCTAGTAAAAAAAAAAAAAACTCATTTGTTGAAATGGGGGGGACCTATTGTTTCAGCCCCTTAGGGGCTTTTAAAAACAAAAATGTCTTTTTATGCACTTTATGAAACGAAGTAGCCTATATTTAGTGGATGTACAGCTACATTTCTCATGTAAGTTTGCGTAGTTTTAACACAAACATTTATTTTTCATATTGCACCAGTACAGTTAATGAGCAACCTGTACTTGTGTGCTTGTTTGTTCTGTCTAAAATGTTTATTTTGGAATAAAGAGGTTATTTTAAAAAATATTTTTTGTCCGATTCATCGATTAATCGAAAAAATAATCGGCCGATTCATTGATTTTTAAAATAATCGTTAGTTGCAGCCCTAGTCTCGGGTCATGAGTGGACAAATTCTAACAACTCTTAACCTAATGGACATTTGCACCTCACCGATGAACAGTTGGCTGTTGAGCTGCAGGTGGACGTGCCCTTCAGCAGGAGCTTCCTGTGTGGCCACAGGCAGGCTGTCCAGTCGGAGGGAGGCCTCCTTTATGTTGCGTTCAGCGTGAACTTGATGCCAGCGGTTGTCATTTAATGGGACTGTCGATTCTACTTGAACTTCCAGCGGGCCATTACCAACGTCGAAGGAGAAAACCACTCGGGTAGAAGCTTAATCAAGAAAAAGCAGAAAGAAAGGCAGAAAGTAAGCTGAGCTATAACCAAGTGTACATAAATAAAAGAAAGATACATTGTGGAGCGGATAAACTTCACTGAAGATCTTTTTGTCTGTTTTGAGGGAGAAAAATCATCAATTTCTACATTTAGACGAAGTTTGAAATCAAAGCAAAAATATTTCCCAGCTAAATCACAATCTGATGAGAAGTAAAGCATTCATGACAAGACAGATAAAAACATAGATTAAAGCATAACAATTTATTTTAACAGTAAACATTGGGTTCGGTTTAATGAGAACTGGACTTCTGGGTTAAATCTATTCAATATTCAGGTAACAGAGACTGATGTTTCTTGCCAAATACAACTAAAAGCAAGCTTCACTCATGTCTCTACATGGTTCACGCTGCAGGTCTACAATGAGCCAATGCATTGAATAGGGAATTGAGACAGGAGCTGTAAACAAGCAGGTTGCTTTGACTCAAGTGTAGAGAGAGAAACAAGCAGACAGGGGGATGTTGGGCTCTCTGGAATAAAATTTAATTACTCTATTACAACAAAACAACAATGTCAACATAGCTTCTAACTAAACAGAGTAGGAGTAATCCTCACAGGATCCGAAATAAAAAAGACTGATTTGGTACCACGAGATGATAACATGAAAAAAAAAATGATTATAGTTTAATTTTTTCCAGCCTGCAGCAGGTCTGTTAGGATAACTATCTGAGCAGACTCAAAGAGATGATTAAGGAAGGAAAACATGCATGTAGTACAGATGAAAGCATCTTTTAAATACAAGTTCTGACCTACATGAGAATAAAGCCCTGTACTAAACAAACAATGCAAATAACATAAATAAACAGACCTGTGAACAGGAAAGAAGACTATGAACAGCTCAACAAAAGAAAGGAGTAAGTAACTGCAAAACAGGGAAAATGGGAGTCATTTCATAAGAATGCACAAGAAACAGATGATAATAATAAAAACGCCCTCCAGACACAAATTACTACACATGACAAACTAAATTAGAGCACTTTCATTTTTACTTTATTTGAAGAATCTTAATAGACAAACTGATAAAGAGGACAGACTGATTGTACTGCTAATGTCAATTTCCTTAAAGTATGATTTAAAAAAAAGAAATTGTTGCTATTTTCTTTGCCGCCTGATTTTTTATCTATTTTTTTTTTTTTCGTGGTCAGATCTCAGGATCAGGACCAGTTCCCCAGACAGTCTGTAGCTGCCCTGTTTCAGCACAATGGACAGTTCCTCTGTGGTGGAAGTCTTTATTTACTTCCTCCAGGATGTCTGCTGCACTCTATTTGTTTTTCCCATCAAAGAGAAAAGATTTAGGAGAGCGCAGAGGCAACAGAGGGCCATCACTCATGTTTTGCTGGTGGAAGGTGGGGATGTATTGCTTTGGGAGCACAGAAGAAGATGAAAAAATACCCCAGCATACAGAGGTAACTTCATTTAGAAATTTGTTCCTAGGCCCAGCTACGATGTCGTGGAGCAATGTGCTGGTGATGGGAAAAGAGGGGTTGGTATACATAGGTGGAACAGCTACACAGACAATGATTTCCCCTGAGAGAGATGGCGGGGGTTTGGTGTCCCACAGCTGAATTCTTCGTCTGTTCTTTACATCCAACAACTTCCAACAAAGCAAAACAAATACAACTGAAAAATCTAACCCAAGCTAAAAAAAAAACACAACACAACCACCCCATAACAACAAAATATCACAACACACGCCTGCCAGGGCCTCTAAGTGACGCTCACCTTTACCACAAATCTAAGTCATAATGTACTGAAACACAGCCTTTGTTATATCTCCTTATATGCTGGCATTTACAGCTAAACATTCTTTTTGCTTTCTGTTCGTGTTTATTTGCTGTTGATTATCTGCTTTTAAACCCATTGTAACTTTCCCTCATTGTTCTGTCTGCCACATTAAAAGCTTTCTTGTAATGTGACAGGTTCTGTAGATAAATGCATATAATTCATAATTTTAAATACTAATTAATGTCACCAGGAGCTTAGTATTTGTTTAGCCCCTCACTTAATGTTTCTTTTAAATACCTCCATTCCTATTCTATTTTTGTCGTCTGGTTTTCATCCCCTTCCTCTATTCTCTTAGTTTCTTTAGGTTTCTACATCTAGTTGTGTGAATTCATGTTATTAAACATGAGTTGTGTTCTGATTAGCGATTTGTGATTATTGGTTTAAAAAAAGATTTCTGGCCCATTGTTTCTTTTCCAGCTGTTTACATCATCTATTGATTTGTCTTAACCCTACTTGCAGCGTATACTAGAAAGCAGGGTTGGCTTCTGACTTGGCCCTGTCACCATGGCAACTAATCTGCCTCAGATCTGATTTGGTAATAAAGACAAAGAAAGGGCTTCCTGTCAACCGATCAATAAAGAAATGTTAATATAAAATATAAAAACACACACCTTTTATACTTCTTCTTTAAAACCTTATGCTCAGATAGAAACCTTAAAGGGAAAGACATCAGCAATATAGATTGTTGTGTCACAAAATAATAAACTGATACGTGTTATGTCTTTACATTTATGTTTATATTGATGTTAAGTGTAGTATTCTATTTAAAGACATTTTAAAATAATGAATTAGCCCCAGCATCTTTTTAGATAATTTTGTGCAAAAGGAGGGTTTTAAACAGGTCTGATTGTTGGATAGATGGTATAATTATTGACAGATTAAATAATAGGAATTTATTGTTGAGAAATGTTTAGATTTTCACAATCATTCGCTGTTTTTTTAAATATTTTGATTCAGTAATTACTTAGTAATGATTAATTTGTTTAGTTCATAAATAGTTTAAGTCCACTTCTTAAGCTTGGTTCATTTTCACGTTTAGCTCACACATTTCAATCCATTGTCATTTCTAGTGACCCTTTTTAAATCATAAGAGGCTGTTGACTATCTCCAGCAGTCACTGTGCAAGAGGTGGAGCATATCTCCAGCAAATTGCCTTTCCATCGCATCACATAACCGAGAGAAAGAGAGAGCACAGGATAAACAACCAGGCACAAACACACACATTCATTCAGACCTAAGGGCAATTTAGAGGGAACTAATATGAAAAGAAAACCAGGGCAGGTTAAATCTGCTTGGATTCAGTGGAAGAGTGTCATATAATCTAAGAATTTATTTGTGAGAAACAGAAAGTCTGCCTCTAAGATTAGGTGAGCTAGGTGTATTCCATGGATTTACAGAGAAGCCTGATTTCCTGAATTATGTTTTATATCACGCTGCATTCATCTCTTGAAGCAGATCTAGTTGCTTTTCCTGGATCTTCAGAGCAAATTTTAAAACCTTGTTTTAAGTGAAATTTTATACTCCCAAAGTCGAAGTGTAACCGTAAATGTTTTTAGGTGGCAGCTCCACTGTCATAGAATATGGTATTATATGACACTTTATTATGTCAGCTGTTGCTGAGCTAAAAGAAAGCCTTTTTACACCAAGGTCCAGCCAACAGTCAGCCACATCTCAATCTTAAACTGTTCACTGATTGGATGTTGTCCTGCCAAAGAGCTTTGCTTTAAATGAGTTTGGAAAATCTTGGCCTGGTGAAGCAAAATGCTGTTCAAGCCACTTTGAATGGGGGCACTCTTATCTCTCAAAAAAAAAAGGCATAATTTAAAAGCCATCACAAAATAGAGCAGGCAAGGATAAACCCCTAAATATTTTTTTGCTGCTGCCAACAGCAGCTTCCAAAGGCCAAACTCTGTCTCTGAACCAGTAAATAAAAAACAGAATAAACATAAACTATAAAAAAAAATGCAGCTAAAGGCAATAAACGTTTCTTTATAAGTTGGGTTCTGTTAAAGGTCTCTTTCTGGTAGAAAAATATGGTTTGAAATGTGTCTAAGTTTCCTCTCTCTGCTCAGGACAGTGGACGGTAATGTTATACACATTAATAGTAACCCATCAATTTCCTTCTGCTTGACTAATTTGACCAAATTACAATTTGATCAAGTAATGATATTTGAATAAAAAACCTAAAATCAGTAAATAATCAGATTTTATAAGATTGGATAGAATAACTGATTTTTTTAGACTTGTTTTTGTTTTGATTACTGCAGTAGAGCTTGAAATAATTTCTACTATTTTTTTATTTAAAAAGAATGAATTTTTTTTTTAATAAGACAATATAATGATGACATAAAATATATCTTTCACACAGCTGATTTCTAAAGGTTTAATAAACTACTCAAACTTTTTCAATTTACCACATTAAAAATGACATAAATAAAAAGACTGGCTGCAGTAATTATTAGCTTTGCTTTTTTGCGCTAGCTTTGAAAATATGTTACTATGTGACAGGAAAAATTTACAAGGTAGATAAAAGGATATTTTTCGCAGAAAACAGAAATCACAATTTACTGATGTTTAAAGACTGATAAATTAAAGGGTTGATATTGATGCTTTAGTAACATCAGTAAGGACAACCAAGGCTGAGTATAAACTGACATGAAACGTGACTCAAAATAACAAACAAGACCAAAGAAAATGACTCATTTATTTTCTTAAGGTTTTAATGTTAAAGTCCAGGTTCTACTTACAGCTCAGTTCAATTCGAATAAAGTCTTTGATGCCAAGATTTTCCAGGAAAACTTTAGATTAAAGCTCTTTCTTTTTTACTGTGTTTATTTGAATATTTAAAAAACACAAACTGATAGAGAGGATACACCGCTTGTACTGCGAATGTCAATGTGCTTAAAACAGGGATTTTTAAAAAGAAATTGCTGCTATTTTTTTGTGCCACCTGATTTTAACTTTTTTTCATGTTGAGATCTCAGGATCAGGACCAGTTCCCCAGGCAGCCTGTACACAAAAAAAAAATCTATCTTTTTTGGCATTTACTTAATTATATTTAGTTAATTTTACACAATTGTTTCATGTTAGCAGGGTGGGACATAAACAGTTGTGTTAAAGTAACTAAATATGATTAAGTAAATGGCAAAAGCGTTTGCATATTTTTTGTGCCCCGTTTCAGCACAATGGACAGTTCCTCTGTGGTTGAGGTCTTTATTTACTTCCTCCTCAATGTCTGCTGCACTCTATTTGTTTTTCCTATCAAAGAGAAAAGATTTAGGAGACTGCAGATAAAATTCTATTTTTTACAGACAACAGAAATCACAAACAATTTACTGATGTTTAAAGGTTGATAAATTATAGGGTTGATATTGATGCATCAGTAACATCAGCTAGGAAAACCCATCCTGACTATAAACTGACATTAAACGTGACTCTAAATAACCCACAAGAAATAGAAGGAAAATTGCTCATATATGTTCTAAAGGCTTTGGTTTTAAAGTCCAGGTTCTACTTACAGCTCAGTTCAATTCGAATAAAGTCTTTGATGCCAAGATTTTCCAGGAAAACTCCAGAAGACGCAGTAGTCTTGAAAAGGAAGGAGATGTCTGCACTTAGCTCTCCGTGAAAGGTGGGGAAGTGGAGGTATGATGTCTCCTTCTCAAAAAATGCTGTATTCCAGAAATTTTCTGTGGAAAGGTAGAAAAAATAGCTTCTATCAAAATAAAAATAAAAAACAGAAAGACACCAGTGATGCTAAAATGATTGAAATGATTCAATCAATTAGAAAGTATGGCAGAAGAAAAAACTAACATGCCTGTCTTAATATTGCTGACTCAGACCAAATGTTAATCTTATACTTTCAAATAAAAGACACTTTGATTGTTTGTCTTAAATATTTTAGACCCCTTTCCCTATAGACTTATGATAAAATATTTTATTCAATCATTTTAAATCATGTTTTTCTGTTTCGAAATTTCCCTGTAGTTAATTTTATTGAACTTTCTGCTGCATGCTGTCTGCCTGCTGCTTCCTGTTTGTTATGTTTGCTACACAATGGGATAAAGTCTTTTCTTACAGAAAGAGTCTGAATCAACAACATACTTTGGTGATACCTACTATAGAACAACTCTGAGTCACCTGCTTGAAAATCACTGTAACTGATTGACGTCACTGTAATTGTTTTGTTATTTGTACAGAAACAAGTTCAACAAAAATATAAACTAAACACCCTGTAAGGATAATACTTTAATCTTTCAATTATTTTTTTTTTAGGTAGACAATTTTACCGTAATATCGGTCCAGGGACAACAGATGATAGCCTTTTGGCTAATTCTAGTGCATTTGCAGGAATGCTTATTAATGCACACTGTCCTTGTAAAATAAATCAAATCAAATAAATTGCTTGTAAGAGGTGTATCTGATTGAATCTGCTTTAGCCTTAAATCTCCACAGTACTGAGAAAATTTCAACAGAAATATTGGATAATTTACAGCAGTGATTCTCAGAAGTTGTGGTAGTGGAATGGTGTTTTATGAGGATGAAGAAAAGATTGTCACATTGGTTTTGCTACTATCATAACAGCAAATAATAATTAAAAGTGTTGAAATATATTTTCATATTTTGTATTTACCCTTTTTTATTTCACTTCTTTTATCTGGGTCTGATTATGAAAAATACAATTATTTTTATTTTACTCATTTTGTATGCAACTAATTGAAAGCAGAGCCCTTTATAACATAATGTCACTTTGCTATCTTTATGTGGGACGTTTTTATAAAACATAAAATATATATTTATACGATTATTATTGCATGTGAAAAAAAACTATAGAAATATGTTAATCTAGTGCTGTTGTTAAATCATCATATGTACTTTAATTTCTTTAATGACGTTCTTTTTTACTATTATTATTATTAATTTATGATCTGTTTTATGTGTAAAGATTGGTAATTTATCTGCTGAGGCTTTAAGAGTTAAAAACTTTAAGTTAACAATTAAAGCACTGTTGCTTATGTAGAAGAATTAAGTAGAAGAAAAGCCAGTTTCTGATGTTTCTTGAATAGTTTTACATGCAATTCCAAAAAAAGTTCATAAAAAACAACCGACTGGACTTTGTTTTCCAAGTTTGAAGATGTTTTACTTCCCATCCAGAAAGCTTTTCCAATTCAAAACGTCAGAATTAGCGTTGAGTTCCCTGGGGTCGTTTAGATCTTTGTAAGCCTCCAATACCAGCTCCTGGTTCAGGTTTTTTTATTTAATGAGATGAGAAACATCTTAATGAAATAAGAAGAACTCCATTTAATCCTACTAAGTGCTACATAAGCACAGGAAATGTGCACATTCTGAATGACTAAAACATCAATACCAGCATCTAGAATTATAGCACATATTACTTAATCATCAAAGATTAGAGTGATTTACTGAGACAAACAGACATTTTTTAAAGAAAGTGTAAACTTTTGGTCTGCATGGAGTAAAAGCTGCTGCTACTGTGTAACAGGAAGGAACCAGGCTTTGAACGCTAGGGTCTTCCACAGAGCGCCACAATCATTCCTACCTCTGCTCATCAATCTCTATAACGCCTCCCTCAAGCGATTCAGCCCCCCCCCCCCCCCCCCGTAATTGAAATTTATGCACTATTTTTGCACGCCACATATCACTTTACTTGGATTTTCACTTTATCTGGATTTAGTTTTTACATATGCATAGATATACGTACAGATATTTATACAGAAGAGCTATATGTGCATATATTTTATTTTTTTTTGTTTTTTATTTTTTATACTTTTATCTTTATTATATTGTATAGTTGGATGTGTGTATATATTATATAAAACTGTAACTGGAGCATGTAACAAAAGTAATTTCCCTCTGGGATTATTAAGTATTTCTGATTTTGATTCTGATTCCTGTATGGAGTTTGTATGTTCTCCCTGTGCATATGTGGGTTCTCTCTGGGTGCTCCAGCTTCCTCCTACACTACCACACTTAGAAGCATGTAAATGTTTGTTCGTCTTGTTGCACTATGCTTTTTTTTGTGTGCAAACACAAGAAGGTGAATGTCTCAGGAGAAAGGCTTTGAAAATCGCTGATTTAGAGGAACTTACTGTCTCCGAAGCAGCGGAGTGGTCCCACTCTATATGCTGCCTCTGAACCCTGCCTCTGAATGTCCCCAGCTACCAGCGATCTGATGGGCAGGTGTTCCTTGTGGGTAATGAGGCCTGAGTCCTCAGTCCTGGAAAGCAAAACAAAAAAAGCATTAAAATGTATGATGAACAAGGTAAGTTAAAACAGTTTGATCCAAAAGAGAAAACAAAAATTTAAATAACAGAACATTTTTTCATCAAAGCTTTTCCTTTAATGTTAATTGGAAATCTCACATGGATTTACCACACATTTATGCAGTAACAGTTCGTTGATGCAAACATTGCAACATGTGGATGCAACTCTTTATGACCTACTGAATAAATAAATTACTTCATCATCCTGCCAGCAAGAACCCAAACTTTCCTCCATGGATAAAACAACACCTTTTTGTCCTTGTAATATATATCTTGAATATGCTGTCAAAAACAACCAGAGGAAAATAATGAAGATGCAGATCTTTGGGGTCTGATAAAAAAAAAAAAAAAAAAAAAAAAACAACTGAGGTGAGGCAGCAGTAGTTCTGAGGGGAAAAAAAAGAAACAGTGCAGAGAATTGTCATGGGAAGCCAGGCATGGGGGGATGGGTGATAACAAGATAATTAGAGATTAAAACATGTATTGGTTTTGCCTCCTGTCAGCTCATTGAAGCTGATTTGCTGTTTCCTGAACTGCTAGAGTTGCAAATCTTGCGTTGCCGATCACTCATGTGAAGCAGAGGGAGGTTAAGGGTTCAGATTTGGAGAGAGGCCTGTTTATTTTCTGCTTGTTAACTTTGGCTGACTGCTCATATAACTGCAGCCTGATTTAGACATGTGTCTTAGATGACCATTCATCATTTCTGTGTGGCAAGCTGCACCCTTAGACCCTGAAGCTGCTGTCGTTAGGAGTTTTGCTTGGTCTTTAACAGTGGTTTAAGAACAAAATAGAATCCATATTTGACTTACTGGCCAAACGAACAACGGTGTTGATATTGCTAAGCATTGGAAGTTACCCTAGAGCCTCTGAAAGGGATAACTTCAGCTCATTTATAAAGGTTGTATATGCACAAAACAGGGTCTGATACTGAAACCTTTTCATGGCTTTCTCTGTGGAAAAAAACAAAAACTTGATGGGAAAATGTCATGGTCTCCATGGTTGTCATTGGTAACCACATATTAAAATTGTTCAGCTAACTCATTTACATATTATTAGTTCTGAATCTTTTTTCATTGAGCTTTCATGGTGTAGTGTAGAGGAAAGACCATGAGGCGGCAGCTTTTATGCACGTGTTGAGGTGCAGCTTGATTTTCTTAAAGAAAATTAAATGTTTACAAAAAAATCTGACTTTTTTTGTGTGAGCAATTTGGGGATTTTTGGTGTTCATACAGCTTTAGTATTGATCTAACCCAATGCTTATAAATGATGGCAAACTAGATTGATAATCTAGCGTTATAAAATGTAGTTCAACAAATTCTTCTCCTGCTCCCATTGAATCTGTTAAGGAAAAGAAGCAACATTCAGATTGTTCATAGCTGATTGCATGGAAGTTTACACATACTGTAGTTCCTGCCAACCTATTTGGATTTAGCCAATTATGGTACCAAATGAACATTTTTACTGCAGCAGGTGCATGACAAAAAACAGCAAGTTAGTCTTGTAATGCTTTTGCTGTTCTTCTTTTAAAGTACAAAACATTTTAATTCAATAAAGTTTTTCAATATAGCAACAATTCATCATCTGAAGGCACTTATAGAGACAATTTAATCCGATCACAGTCAGATTGGTTCAAAGTTTTCTATCTAAGGAAAACCAGCTGATTGCATCGAATCATTTGGCCTCATGCAACAACATTTTCATATTCTTATCATGGACGTCTCTCTTTTTTTTCCCCCTATCATGGGCTTTTACAAAGGCAACACATAAAATTCAACAAATGTTATTAACTACAGTAAATTATCGTAAATTATTCTTGTACACAGTTAACCTGTGTGATAGCGAGCATGCATTCCTGAGGAATGTAAATCTGTGTTATTACAAATTATTATAATCCGATTATTCCATATAAGGGTATGAATTCCCACACCTCTGTGAGTGAACAGGCAGGTGGCATTGAAGATGGAGAAGAAAAACTTTCAAGTTCACAGATTGAGGCTCTACTGACTGAGGGCTGAGCAGCAGAATTAAAGGAGCAGTAAAAAGCAAAGCAGTGGGGAATACGTCACACAAGCTCTGAATGCTTTGATTGCACTGTTACAGAAGTAAAAATAAAGTAAAAGGATAAAAATAATATAAAAAGAAAAATAGTAGGCCGTGCATGTACGGAGCCATGTACTGAAGCCTTAGTCCTCGACGCCGGCGACCAGGGTTCGAATCCGAACTGCGGTCCTTTGCCACATGTCTCTCCCCCTCTCTCATACCCCCTTTCCTGTCAATCTACTGACGAAAAAAAGCCACTAGTGCCTCAAAAAACAAAACAAAAAAACGAAAAAAGAGAAAGAAAAATAATACTTTGATAATACTTGTGAGTTCAATATGGGCAGCTCAGTGGAGTAGTGGGTAGCACTGCTGCCTTGCAGCTGGGTGGTTCTGGGTATGACTCCAAGCCCAGGGTTCTTCTGCATGGAGTTTGCATGTTCTCTCTGAGCATGTGTGGGTTCTCTCTCCCACAGTCCAAAAACATGACTGTTAGATTAATTGGTTTCTCTAAATTCCCCTCAGGTGTGAGTGTGTGGTGATGGAAAATGGATGGATAAGATCAACCAACGTGACAACATTCTGCCAAATCTCCTCTTAATACACATATTTACTGTATATCTGCCATCCCTTTATCTCTCTCTCACAATGCACAAAAATATATAAAATGTTGGCGGCGAAACTCTAATTTGACGAGGTCAGAGTGACCCAAACCCAAATATTTCACATTTAGTGCAATAACAAAGCCAAGAAGCTGCCATGGAGTGAAATGAATGCAAGTCTCACCATTAGGAGCTTTGCTGAACTTTCCGTTTTCAGTTCCAACAGTAGCTTGATCTCTGACTGTTCTTTGTGTTGACAAAATAACAGCAAATTAAATCAGTGTCCCCTGGATAGCGACATGCCAGCTGTAAGTGTGGTGAACGGCACTTCTGTCATCAGCAAATAAAATGTAATTTATAATTGCAGAGTTGCACCATTTATAATAATGCAGCCTAAAAATGTATAATTGCATCTAAGTAAAAAAATGTAGTCTCTCAGTGAAAAAGGTTTAAATAACAGCTGACTGATTGCACAAGAGTCCTACGTCAAGTCTGTAGCAGTCGTAAAATGTGTTCTTACCTGAGAGATTAGATTAGAAATAGGAGAAAAACGGAGAACACAACATTTTCTTCTAAATCATTCCTTCACTTAAATGTGTACGAATGGTTCTTGCATGAGTCCCATTGATTCTACAGCAATCCTTCACACACAGCATGCACGTGGCAGCAGTGGAGAGGAAAAACACCCTTTTAACAGGAAAAAACCCAAGCAGGACTAGGCTCGGTGTGAACGGCATTCTGCCGACTGGAGGTTTAAGGTGATAGAAGGAGACATACAAGAGGAACATAGAAGCACTGATCTAAAACAGTTTCTGTGTTAGAGAAGGTAAAGGTTTAACTAAATCTTCAGGTGGCTCTATCTAGGATGGAAACAGTTAAGCAGATGAGCCCCTAACCAGTCATAGTGGATTGTGATCATCAACAGTGTACAGGCATGAACTTTCCCATCAACTGTAGCAAGTTTCTGCTGTATATCCCTTGAGTCTGCTGTCTGGTTAATTTGCTTAGACCAACATCCCTGGGAAGGTTGATATTTATTTTGAATATCCTCTTGTAGAAACTTTTCTGTATTGTGAAATTGTTAGACTTTAAGCTGTTAGAACCTAATTTCTGAAGATTTTATGAGGTTAAACAGAGTTGACCTTCATAAAACTTTGTGACATTTCTGTCACCATATGCACCTGATATATTATGATAAGGCAGTGGGTGTTATAGTCAATCATTATCGGTAAATGGGAGGTTGTCCTAATGTAAACCTCACCAGAAATTAGATTTCTTAATTTTAATTTTGTAAACCCATTTCTAAAGTGTTTTCTTCACGTCAAACTGTTTGATGTGACTGTATAAATCTATAGTAGCCAGTACCACTCCATGATGTCTGCGTCACAATTGCAGTAGTGCTGTGGGTCCACACAGTCGCCATGGAGGCCACAGGCGCACTGCTGGCTGCCTGGATGAGCTCCACCCCAATAAGTCTGCACACGGCCTGGAGCGCGGCCGCCAAGCCACCAGCTGAACGGAGTCCCCTCTGAAGACACAAACACACAAACATCTGTCATATTTACTCATTTAATACTGGTTGCATTTTCTAGGTTGGGCAGAGGAAAAATGTTTTATTAAAAAAATAAGTATATACAAGTATATATCTATCTGATCTAATTTTACATAACTTTTGTGGTTAAAGGTACACTATGCAACCGGGGTTGATTTTCCAGTGAGGCTCCCCCCAGAGTAAATATGCTCAGCTGTTCTCCTGGTTTCTCCGTCAAGCCAGGCGCGGTTGTTCTGAGCTTAGCAGACAGGCGAACGCAACGAATCACCATGTCTACTGCGGTAAGTGACTATTTTGTTCCAATTTTCGAGTTTGAAAATTTAGCATGTTTTCATACATTATTTGTTATGCATGTGTCTAAATAACAAAGATTGTAGTTAGCCAAGTTCTCGCCGTAAAGCTAGACCGACTCTCGCGATGCATGAGACTTCTGAGCCTGTGGGTGCGGGCCGAGGGCTCCTGCAATTGCAAGTACGGTATTTCCCCTACAGACCACCAGGGCGGCCGAGAAAACCTTTGTTCAACCTGAAATGACTCATTTATTCATCCAAAACGTTATGGAACACATTAATTAACTGAAAAATGTTGCATAGTATGCCTTTAAAATTAACTTTGGTAAATATTTGCCTCCTAACTGACTGTTTGATCAGATAAAGATTTTTACAAGACTATTCTTTAATAAGCTCTTTTTTAGATGGGTTTACTTTAAATGGTCCATGTGGAGATTAAGGTTTGTTTGCACGTAATTTTTAATTGCATCAATATGAAATAACATTTGGTGCTGCTGCTGCTTAGTTTAGCCATGTATTGCTTTGACAATGGATGACCTTTTTAACTGACTAATTCTAACTCTTAGTATTAAAGAAAACCAAAATTTTGAAAAACATGGACGTTAGGGTGTGGTGGTGAACTTAAGCTTCGTTTATGCACCGCATTTTTCATTTTATTTTATTTATTTATTTTTTCCTACTTGCTTTGATTCTGTTTTATCTTCCTTTATTTAAATCATGTAAAGCACTTTGCATTGTCTTTGTACTGAATTGTGCTATACAAATAAATTTGCCTTGCCTTGCCTTATGCCTGAAAACAACCTACGCTCCTTGTTGAAAATGAGGCATCTATAGCTTTTATATGCCATGCAGCTTTTCCAATCTTTGCTAAATATTTTGTGCATTACGCCCCCTTATGCACAAACATCAAACTTACGATGACACAAAAAAAAAAATGTTTTGTACTTTCAGCTTTTCCTCATGGTGTATGATGCCATATTCAATTGTTCTGCTATAAATTGAAAACAAAACAAACAAAAAACATTTGTTACCTGGAGTGTTGAGAAGTCGGGATTTCCTGCACTGGTAGGATAACTCCTGTTCACAGTGCTCTGATTGGCTGATAGAACCTAAAAGTTGCTCTTCTTCAGAAGAGTAACTGAAGTGGACCGAGTGGTGGTCCAAGCCAGCTGCAGGTGGGGCTGTGGTCAGCTCAGTGTTGTTGTGCTGGATAATCATCCATGTCTCACTATCTGTAGACCAATATATATAACATGTCATAATCATCACTTCATTAAAATAATATGCTGAATTCCTTTCAACCATAAAACCTTTGTCTTAATCATTTATGAACATATTAATGCCCTCCAAAGATTTTAATATGCAACATTTTAGTGGATCAAAACTAAACTTAGAATAGGATAAATAACTGCAGGTATGTACGCAGACATACTGTATGCCTTTAAAGAAAATTTCTTGCAAACTGGTTTAAAACTAAAACAGAATTGATAAAAAAAAACAGAATCAGAAAATGAAAGGCTCTTTGTTGTCCCTTTTTAGTTTTAGAAACAGACAAGGTTTCTGTTCCTTTTACTAAATTTTTTGTTGAAAGTATAAAACTTCTGGTTAAGATTTTAGTTTCCCTAAATATAAAACCTGCTTAACACAAAACCAATAATGTGAATTTCACAAATTTCAACTCATTTACAAAGAGGAACACGATAAGTACTGCCAGAGTCCTAGAGAGTGACCTTCAGCACTCTGACCATATCATCAGATAGACTTTATGAGGGGAGCCTCAGGGCATACTGCCTTTAGTCATCTCTGAAACATTCCATTCTAAAGTTGCAGACATCATTGTATCTATTGCTCCTGCTAAAGTGAAAGCTGTCTCTGGAAAGATGAAATCTCCATGAAGAAATGCTGCAGCAGTGAGAAAAGAAAAGATGTGGTGCAAAAAATTGGCAAAAAATGTACTTGAGTTTCACTATGAAATCTATGAAGAGAAACTTCACAGATAAAATTTACAACTAAATGATGCAACAGAATCTTTCTTCTTTGAGATTATCAAAAAAACAACACATTAACAATGCTCAAATCTTTTTTGCCACAGTCGACAGGTTAACAAAACCACCCATCTTTGGCCTGCAATGACTGTGCAAAGTTTTTTACTGAAAATACAAGATATTAGAAAAGCAGTCTGCACATAAACACCAACTCAATGTAACAATACTGTCTCCGGTTAGAATAAACTCTGTTGAAATGCCCCAATTCTGCCAAATAAACTGCAAAAGTTTAGAAGAACCTGTTTAGCAGCTAAGCTCTTCTTTTTGTTGTCTTAATGTTTTACCCACAGCTTTTATTAAAAAGGTTTTACCTGTTTTAGAGTCTGATTTGATTCAAATCAACATATCCTTTATGTCTGGTGTTTTTCCCCTAGGCCTTAAAAACAGCAATAATCAAACCATTGTTGAAAAAAAGAAACTTACACTAATTGGTCCAGCAGAAGTACAGACCCATCTCAAAACTCCCCATCATCAATAAGATTATTGAAAAAGTTTTTCAACAGTTAAGCGCCTTCTTAATGACAAGCTGCTTCGATGTTTTCCAGTCAAGTTACCGTGCCAACCACAGTACAGAGCCTCCCCTGATTAAGGTGTTCAATGAAATTCATATAAAATCAGACCCCGGAAGAACCATTGTGCTGCTATTATTGGACTTTAGTGCAGCTTTTGATGCTACTGATCACTTGATTTTATTAAAGCGTCTGGAAAACTGGGTCTGCCTTTCTGGTACAGCACTGGAATGGTTTAAATCGACCTGACGGATAGGGACTTGTAACACTATGTGTCTGTAGGGAATTTTAAATAAGAGACCAGAAAAATCACATGCGGGGTTCCTCAAGGCTCCATTCTGTGGTCCCTCCAATTCAAGATTTATATGCTCATTTTAGCTCACATTATAGCAAACTACAACATCAGTTACCATAAATATACAGACGACATAGAGCTTTACATCACAATTTCACCAGTTGACTATGAACCTATCAATATATGGAAGATCTCCAACTCAATAAGAACAAAACTGAGGTAATAATTTTCAGACCAAAGAAGGAGAGATTCAGAGTTAGCTCCCAGCTTCAGCTATAAAGCTAGAAACCACTGATTATAGTCGAAATCTTGGTTCATGATGGACTCTGACCTGAACCTTCACCACATAGCCTTTTATCACCTGAAATACATTCCTCAATTAAAGGACTAATCTCCAAGCAGGATCTGCAAAAAATCACATTGTCTTTATTTTTTTTTTGTAGAATTGATTACTGGTACAGCTGCTTTGTCTTGCATACAATGTCCATCAGACAGCTGAAATGAATGTTGTGCTGCATACAACATTGTTCAGCATGATTGGTTGCATAGATGGACAGTGTCTGCGACAGTATATCCATTGAGGGGAGCACAGAACTGTGTTCTGAACAGTTTTTATTTTATATACCCATTCATAGTCTTTTGTGGCAAGAGGATGACAGAGTTGATGCCACTGGCTGGTCTTCATGCTCCCCTGACAACATGTTTAGGTCTAATTGATGCAACCAGGTTTTATCTCTAAATTTCCAGGAGTTCTAATAGGGAGCAGACCCAGATGTTGTAAAGCATACATACTGATATGTGTGCCAAATGCAAATGACTAGTACAATTTTTAGTTGCTACAATGAGATTCAGCAAGTTGGGCGAGCCTATAGCATCAGTTTTTCCTTCATTTGTTTCTCTTTGACTTCAGTTTAGGCCCTACATCCATCCATCTTCCCTGCTGGGGTCGCGATGGGTGCTGGTGCCTATCTCCAGCTGTCTACGGGCGAATGGCGGGGTACACCCTGGACAGGTTGCCAGTGTATCGCAGGGCAACACAGAGACAAACAACAATTCACGCACACACTCATACCTAAGGAGAATTTTAGAGAAGCCACTTAACCTAACGGTCATGTTTGTTTTTTGGACTGTGGGAGGAAGTCGGAGTACCCAGAGAGAACCCTTGCATGCACAGGGAGAACAAGTAAACTCCATTCAGAAAGACCCTTCTATTCAAGATATTTTTGCTTTCAGTTTGTGTGCTCCTGTTTTGATATCAGTAAAGGACCATTTTTCAGTTTTCACCATGAAAGTGAGGGTTAGGTATGAACTAGTGATGGTTAAATAAGGGTTATTGTCAGGGTTTGGGAATAGAAAAGGTTGAAAAGGTTAAAGATCCCTTGAAACTCCCCTTGCCCAATCTCAGGACGCAGAGCTGACCGAAGTGGCAGGCTTCCTATCACTTTTAGACTTCCCTTCGATTGGAACAGACCAGAACAAATCACTAACTGAGACAATAACAGAAAATGAAATAAATAAAGCTATATCAGATTTAAAAATGGTAAAACATGCCAGGCGCTGATGGCTACCCAGTAGAATGGTATATGACCTTGGGAGAAATACTAATACCGGTTCTGAAGAATTGTTTTAACTCTGTCCTACAAGGAGGGGAAACACCAGTATCCTAGAAACGAGCTGTGATCTTGATAATCCCTAAACCTGGTAAAGATAGGACTGAGTGTGGCTTGTACAGAT